AAACACAAACACACTGAGATGAGGAATGTTAGAATCCAATAGTGCACAGAAGGTAAGAATCCCTGGGCAACCAAAGCTGAAGCTGTGGGAACAGATAAAATGGCTCCAGGCAAAATGAAGGACAAGACAAAAAAAGAAGTAGCAGCAGAAATAACTTTGGATACCTACTAAGTGCCAGGTTGTTCCTGGCAACAATTCTATGAAGCAGGTTCAATTATTGTCTCAATTTTGCGAAGAGAAGCGAGATTCATAAAGATTCAAACCCAGTTCTGCCTCAAAAAAACGTCTGCTGTCAGCCATTTGAATGAGAATAAAACAGGAGAGGGCACAGTTGCATGGTCACGTAAGCACACTCCCCCCACCCGCAACACACACTGGAGTTGTGCTAAGGCTGGGTGATATATACCCTTACCCGCTCATCTGCCTGGCCACAAAATGGATTGCAATCCTAGAATCCCCTTCCTCCTACCTCTAAGATCTGCACGGCTCCATGAGCCTCAAGATCGGTCCACCTCTACCGCGGAGGTTTTAGGCAAGCCTCATTCCGGTGATGCTCTGAGGTTGGGCAGAAAGCGCAACCTCTTGAAACCCCAGCACGGCCGAATGATTTATACCATCCAAGAGGTACAGAGAGCAATCTCAGCACACAATATGAAACAGCCTACGATCCCACTTAACTGGCAGACTTGGGAAAAGGTTCAGACACTTCCCCAGTGGCCGCAATTTCCTCCCGGGTGGGCTCAGCCGCGTGGCGGGCGCCTCCCACCGTGCTTCAAAAAGCTCTAGCTAGTTCCGCTAGAAAACTTGCAGAGATTGGAGCTGAGAAAAGGCGGGCAAAGTTCCTTTTGATAAGTTATGAATGGGGAAAAAGTGTAGAACTCCTTGTTAAAACCACGGAGCCCGAGACTCGGGCGGCGCCAGACCAATCCGAGCCCGGAGGCTATTTTGAAATCGCTCCGATAGCAGCCAATAGGTGTGCGGGAGGCAAAGCCCTGCGCCGGCGCCAGCCAATGAACGCGGTGCTATGCTAAGGGGCCGGGGTCCGGCCCCTCCGACTGTCAGCGGGTTAAAGATGGAGCCTGCGAGAGAGAGAGGGCGCCACGAGGTGCGGGGTCGTTGGGGTGGGGACTACGGAGGCGAACGACGGCCAGGACCCTCTTCCACTAATCTGCGTCTTGCCTTCCCCCTGAGAGGAAGGGGTATCTGTCCGCGTGAGTAGATGGGTCTGGGGGTGGGGGGTGGGGTGACGGGGAACGGCTCTGTCTGGCCTGACTTGTGGAGGGGCCCTATCAGGACTCCTGGCGCCCTCTCTGGTCAGGGAACTCCAAAAGGGCGGGAAGCCCCCCATTCTTCTGCTCCGTTCTGACCCTCAGGGCATAAGAATCTGTTAGGACAGAATATGGAACCCATGCTGGGGGCAAAGAGGCCCAGGATGAGGTCCAGAGCTGCAAGGGCGCATCGTCCCGGAATGGGGTCGCCCTTCTTGGAGTCGCAGGCCAAGGCAGGGTGCAGGGTCATCGGACTGTACTCACCCTGGTCCAAGGGCTAGTAGGCTTGGACTGCGGCTGAGCGCGGGCCCCTCTCCTTTGTGTGTGTGCCCCCTCCGAGGTTTGTCCCATAAGCTCTTGTTCCTGGGCTGGGTTGTCTCCTCCACAACCTGAAGCATGCTGGGGAAGGCTGGGGTTCCCTGGGGTTCTAAAGACCTCAAGAGAGACAACACTGATGAGATCCTCTTCTCCCCTTGTCCTAGACAAGGGTTCTGGCCTCATCCACCCATCTGTGGTTGAAATTCCCACCCTGCATGTATTGAGGACTATGGGACCCTCCTGCTGGTTGCAGGTGCTCTGACGAGGTTGCACTACTGTGCTCTGAGAAGCAGTGCAATGATATTGTCAAAGCATTTGGGACCAGACCTGGGAATGCCCCTCACCCACAACTTCTTCTTTCCTTTTCCTCCAGACAGATTCCTTCCTTAGTCCTGCAGGCCCTCCCCTCCCCCCTGCCCAGTTTGCTCCCTTCTCCATGGAAACTTGAGAGTCTAGGCAGGCCTGGGCCTCTAGGGTCAGAGGGCACACTTCCCCCAGGCAGAGGGCCCCACCCAAATGGGCCTGCATTTCAGGTTTCAGATCTCACCCATTACCACCACAAGAAAGCCAGGCCTACCCGACACTCTTTCCCTGTTGCACTACTATGGGCCACTGGGAAGCAGTGCAATGATGAAAGGGCATCGGTCAGGTCTGCCCACTGCTCATAGCACTTGGGGAGAAGAGTGTTTGCTGCCTTACTCAACTTCTCAATTGAGAAAGCTGAGGTACCCAAAGGGTAAGTGTTTGGATTAATTAAGCATGGGTGCAGAATTGGACTGAACCATCCATCAAAGGGATGATCTGGTGGGTGGGTCCTTGGGATCATCCCTCAAGCTGTCCATCCTGATCATGCTGGACAAGTGCAAAGAGCCTTCAGATTCAGAAAGGCTCTTGGTTGAAGATCTTTCCACTTTGCCTCCCCAGGTAAGTTTGGGACTCCAGGAGCTTGTGGAGAAATAGAAATCCTTTGCATGCCTGGCTTAGACCCAGATCAACCATGGACATGTTGGGGTAAAAGGGACCTAGCCTTCCCTGAATGTTTGAAGAGGATGAGGCTCAGAAAGAAATGTTCTTTTGGGTGGGGTTTGGGAATGAGGGTGAGACAGGCCTTCTAGGAGAAAGCCTTCACACCAGAGCATCAGCAGGAGTGGGACAATCTTAGATGGGTGGACTTGGGATAAAGAAACATGCTGGTGAGGCCCATCAACAGTGCCAGCTTGTTCTTTTATAGGGAAATATTCCCTGATCCTGCAGAAGGGGCTGTGAGGTGTCTGGCATGTCTGCCTTCCCAGCTGGAATAGGGGACCTGAAGTTAAACTTCCAAGGAGCCTTATTCTAGGTGTGCTTGCAGGGCCACCTCTACCTGACACAATGTGCCCTTTAATACAAGCCTGTCTCCTAGAAAGGAGGCTCAGGTCTCCAGATGGACTTTTGGGAGTAACCTTCTCCCAGCAGAGAATACTAGAACACTGCCTTTAATCCTGCCCTGGGGAGAGGGTGCGGTAAAAGCCCTGGCATCCATGGTAGGAATGAGGAGAAATGACAAATGCTCCTCTGACTCCTAGTCCTGACCCCTTGGGGTTTCTTGATCTCGCCTGACTCAGGCCCTTTCTCCCTTCTAGCTTCCAGGGGCCATTGCTGGAAGTGGCCACCCCTCATTCATGTGCAGATTCTATACCTACTGCTGAAGCAGGTATCTCCTGCTCTTGCTGGAGGAAGGTTTTTGAACTCAGGGCTAGCATTATCTCCTTGGGGAAAACCTTCCCTGGAATATTCTTCTAGCAGTGCCTTTTGGATCACAATTTTTCCCCAGTGGCTGAAGTCCCTAATAGGGGCCTGGGAGCCCATGAAGTCAGAGACCATATGTTGTTTTCATTTGTGAAATCTTTCTTGGTCATATGTGGCACAGAGGAGGGGCCCAGTATGTTTTTTAAAAACACTAATAGGGAAAAGGATGTAGCTCAGTGATAGTGCCTTGCATGCACAAGGCTCTAGTTTTTATCTCTAGCACTAGAAATGAACAAACAAGCGAAAACAAAGTGTGAAGCATGGTTATTAGCATAATGTGGTAGGAGTAATCAAAGGTCTTTTTAAACTTCAAAGGGTGCTTGTCCTGTTTGAAAATGGGCATATATTTAAAAATAAAGGTTCATTTTGTAAGTCACATGGGGGCAGGAAGCAGGAAAGAGACTGGAATTCAGGTTTGTCTGACTTGAGTTTCTGCCTGAACCACTAGGCAAGATGCACAAAATAGACCCTGTTCCTCCTTGATTGTCTCCATCTTGCTCCCTGACCTACAAGCTGGAGGAAATGCCTACTACCTCCTATGCTAGAGAGAGCTGGAATTAGAGGGCTGGTGGTTTGGCTGTTAGGAGACAAATCTGTTTTGAATTCTCAGATATACTCCATTGAATCTCAGGGATGATGGAAGGGTTTTCCGGAGGGCACTACCTCTCTGTCGTGGCTGGAATGGATGGTGAGGTCAACTACTGCCCAGATAAGGGAGGGAGGAGAAAGGCAGGTTTCAGGGGGAAGAAGTTATTTGCCAATCATGGAATGTGTTCCATGTGAGATGCCCAAGAATTGTCCCTAGCAGACATTTGGATATGAGTTTGGAATTCAAGGGAGGTTGAGCCTGAGACAAAGTTTTGGGTTAAGTCAATTATGGGTTCTTGAACAGCATCAAGAACTGTTCAAGACTGTAAGGTGAAGAAAGGGTCTTCGGAAATACATCAGAGGGTCAGGAGGAAAGACACTGAGAAGGGGCCAGAATGCAGGCAACTAGAACGATAGAGCAAAGAAGTGATCCTGAAGAGGGTAAGATCCGGGAGGTGTGTGTGTGATGCTGGAGAGTAGGGCAGGAAAGGAATAGGATGAAAAATCCAAAGCTGGAGGAGTCAGGGGCAGAGTGAAATCCTATGGGCATTGCCTTTGTGAAGGCGAAGCAGGCATGGTACTTGTCCAAGTGAAGAAGCACAGGGATAGAGAAGGGACTGGAAGCTGGGAGAGGGGTTTGGGGCCTTAAAGAAGTGTCAAGATTTAGGGAGATGCCCATGTCCTCTGGGTGGGCAGGGACCAAGTGGAGATCAAATGACTGATAGCTCCCAGAATGGGACTATTAACCATGCAGCTACTTGGCCACGTGGAAGATGTGACAGCGCATGCCCAGAGGGTTGGGCATTGTCACGTGTGACAGTCACAGGGGATTTGGCCCCTCCCCTTGCCTCCCCGCTGATTTATTGGGGGTGGGTCAGGGGGGAGGGGGCTGCAGCTGTCAGAGAGGGAACAGGGAACTTGCACCGCAGCTGGAGGGGAGAGTGGGTGCGGCCCCTAAGGGGACCCCTCTGCCTTTGGTGATCTCAGCCCTGGTCCTAGGGAGGGGTCCTCTCACCTCGCCTCCGGGCGGTTTGGGTATCCTGCCGCCCTGGCCCCAACGACCGCTAAGTCCCCAGGCAGTTCGGCTCCACCACCAGCAGCCGGTTTAGGATGGAGGTTCTGGATGAGTTTGACAGTGAATTTCCCCAGAGTGTGACCTTTTGCCAGCTCATTTCGGAGGAGGACTTTGAGAGACAGGCAGCGACCTACACAGAACGCTCTCTGCGCCGCCTCTTCCGCACTCTTGACCGCAATCCAGCCCTGGCAGAGAGGGTCGTGCGCAAGGGCAAGCAAACCGAATGCGAGCAGCGTGGGCTCCTTTCCTTTATCTGGGTGCGGGCCGCAGGAGGTGGGGACCAGGAGGGTGGGAGAGGTGACCACCCTGGCCTGCTCCCCCTTAGGGTGGAGCTCCGAGGAGGGTGGGACTTTGTGGGGTACCACGGGTTTGGGAGGGCACTATTGGGCTTAGTTGGGGTTGCTATTAGGGTCTTCCAGAAATCAAGACTACCCAGCTTTTAGAGAGGAATGGGCAGATGACTCCTTGGTATCCTCCTCCCCTGCCTATCCCGCTGTTGTAGGCGAAGTTCATGTGTGCTGTCCAGGGAGAACTGAACCAGTGTAACAGCATGGGCACCCTAGAGATGCACCAGCGCCTGGAGCAGTTGAAAAGGAGCATCCATCGAGTGCACCTGTACTCCCAGGGTGAGGCCCAATCTCTGCCCAGGCTGAGTTCTGGGAATCTGAGCCCAAGGCATCTCCATATGCCCATTACATCCTCAGCAATGCTGGAGACTTGGGTGACCAGCTCAGGTCCACTTGAGGTGCCCATCCCCACTCTTGTTGTATTTGCCTTTTTGGACCAGGTTTTATCCAGAGCAGGAAGAGAGCAGGCGGGTGGTACAGGCCCCATCCAGGGAGAGAAACACTGCTTCTAGTTAGATTAGCTAGTTAGGCAACTCACCAGCTCTGCTTCTTCCTGGCTGTGATCCTGAACGAGTTACCTCACATTCCTTAGCCTAAGAGCCTCTGAAGTGTGTTTTTGGAGTGTTGAGTAAAGGGTAGCCAGCAGTGTCTGACCCATCAAATCTGATACAGGACCCACTTTTCTCTGACCCTGTGTCTGGAAGTGGTTACTCTTATGAAAGTAAATATAGCCAGGCATGGTGGGGCTCCTTGTAATCCCAGTGACTTGGGAGGCTGAGGCAGGAGGATCATAAAGTCAGGACCAACCTGAGTAACTTAATGAGATCCTATCTCAAAATAATATAAAGGGCTGGAGATGTAGCTCAGTGGAAAGAGCCTCTGGGTTCAATCACCAGTATTCCCTGCCCCCACCCCCAAAAGGAAAAAGAAAGTAAATATACATGAAACTAGAGACATCAGTAAACATCTTAGTATCTGTCACTAGCCTCATCTACTGTCCCCATCTTGACATGATGCTTTTACTTTCTGCACCCATTGCCTTTTTTTTTTTTTTTTTTTAATGGTGCTGGGAATTGAACCGAGGGCCTTCTGCATGCAAGACAAGCACTCTGCCAACTGAGCTATATCCCCAGTCCTGCACCCCTTGCCTTTTCCTGGAATATTTTAAATGAAATCTCAGTTATTGTACCTCTTGAATACTGTAGAATGCATTTCAATTTTATTTATTTAATTTTTAAATTTATTTATGTTTGAGATTGAACCCCTGGTCTTGCTCATGCTAAGCACCTATCAATGATCTGTACCCTTCAGCTGTATGCATCTTTATTTTTTATTTTATTACTTTTTTTTTTAATTGTTTGCAGTACTGGGGATTGAACCCAGGGGTCATGTATGCTAGGCAAGTGTTCTACCCCAGAGCTATATTACCAGTCCATGCATATTAGTTTTTTTTTTTAAGATATTTTCTGACATAACTCACAACAGTCCCAAAATATTTGCTGAAACATAGTCATATCTTCCTGGTGATACACTCAGTCTGTCATGTCAGGATCCATTGAGGTCCACACATTATTTTCAGGCATTAGGCCTCTACACTTGATCTTAGCTAAAATAGCAAGAAGTGATCAGGCATTGAGTCTTTTATCTTCTTTTTTAAAAAATTTTATTTTATTTGATTTTTTTAGTTGTAGTTGGACACAATATTTTATTTTTATGTGGTGCTGAGGATTGAACCCAGTGCCCTGCATGTGCTAAGCCAGGGCTCTATCGCTGAGCCACAACCCCAGCCCTTACCTTCCTTTTTCACTGGATGACTATACAATTTGAGTCCATATTGGTACATTTGTGATCACGCAAGGATGGCAGGGATAAACTGGGCTTGCCTTAGGCAAATGAGGATCCATGACCAGTTTAGTTGAAATCCCCTTTAAGGGGAGATGGTTCTACTTTTCTTTCCTCCATGTCATTGATTTGAACTGTGACATCCTCTGGTGACTCACCTTGTTTTCTGTTCTTTCTTTTTGGTACTGGAGATCTAACTCAGGGGTGCTTTACCTCTGAGCTACATCCCCAGCCCCTTTTTACTTTTTATTTTGAGACAGGGTCTCACTAAGTTGCTGAGGCTAGTCCAACTTGTGATTCTCCTCAGCCTCCTGAGTGACTGGGATTATAGATATGTGCCACTGTGCCTAGCCTGCCTTTATTCCTTGAATAGGCTAAAGCCTTGGCTAGATTCAAGTTGAGTTATTTGATGTATTTGGAGATCTGCTACCCTAGGGTGAGGCAACTTCCTTCAGCATCACATCAGGAGACAAGGCTCACTTGGGGATTTCCACTTCTTTGTGGTGCTACATGTGAGTCTTCCATATCACTGATTCATTTGATAGACCAATAACACGTATAGCCCCCTCCCCAAGTAACCTCAATGTCTTTTTTCTTTGTTTTATAGAAGAGGAAATAGAGACTTAAGGAACTTAGCTGACATGTATGATATGTGCAAGGTCATGTAGGTAGTAGCTGAGCCTGAATTTGTACTTGACTCTAGTTGGTCTGGAGCATAGGCTCTTAGCCTCTAGGCCATTGCTGGGTGGTAGTTATTATGACAGCAAATGAGCTTTTTTTTTTTTTTTTCCCCTGTAGGTGTGTATGTGTGTGTGTGCGCGCGCGCGCGCATGTGTGTGTGTGTGTGTGTGTTACTAGGATTGAATCCAGTGGCATTGTACCACTGATCTACATCCCTAGCCCTTTTCATTTGTTTATTTTTAATTTTGAGATGAGTCTTGTTAAATTGCTAAGACTGGCCTTCAATCTGTAATCCTGCTGTCCCAGCTTCCCAAAATGCTGGGATTACAGGCATAGACCTGTAATGGGCTATATGATGGGGTATATGAGCCTCTTGTAAACACCTACTTTCTTGGTCATCTCCAACTTTAAACAGTAGAAGTAGCCAGATTAGTTGAATGCAGTAGGAAAACCTAAAAGAGAGGAAAGGAGGCTGGCCCAGGATCCTGTCCCTCAAAGATGCCTTCCCTGAGCCCATCTCTAAGACCTCCTCAATGTAGGTTTCCACGTGAAGGAAGCACTCTTCTTTTACATCCCAGACCCAGGGACTGGTGTTGGTATGGGCTCAAAATGGGGTCTAGATACTCCCACAGGTGTTGGTAGACAGCTTTCCTCAGTGCTTGGGGGGTGGATGGCAGGCTCACCTGTACAGACCAACCCCACTTCTCTGGCTGAGATACTTCATTACTTCTCATGAAATTCTGCCCTTGAAGTCAGACAACCCAGTTGTGGATCCTGCCTGTGCTTTATCAAACATAGGCTCTGATTTCACCTATAAGATAAAGACCATGTACTCTTTCTCCATGAGAGTGTGGGGTTAGTCAGATGGTGCATATTATTGCCTGTCATGGTGGCCCTAGGTATTGTCCCTGGTACCTTCTCTTCCTTGCTGGGGGAATGGTGTGAAGATCCTGCACCATTGTTTTTGGCCTCTACTCTACCCTGGTCTGGCCTTGGGGTAGGTACTCATTGGCACCTTTTGTCACAGATGCCAAGAAGAGGAAAAGGAAGCCCAAACTGAAGAAACCAGAACCCATCCTCTTACGGGACCGGTCAACCTCCCCATGCCTGCCACCAACCCCGCTGCCACCACCTGCTGCCACCATGGCCTCTGTACTGGCCCCATCACCCCCTGTATATACTATGCCCAGGGTCTTTGGCCCTTTCTCTCCGCTGCCCAGCAAGTCAGTCAGTGGGAGTGTCCACCACTCCAGGCTGTCCTGGGAGGGGCAGTCTCTGTCCCCTTGCTCAGAACAATCTACTGCTCTCCCAGGCCCATAGCCATGGCTCTCAGATATCTGCAGAACCCTCTTTGCAGTCAAGGTCTTGGGTAGAACAGTAGTGGATGAAGCAGATAAAAGGGGGCTGCTCTGGTTGAGGGGTCCTGGTGGAGGTCAAAGGCACAGAGCTCCACCTTCTTGACCTCAGGTGAGCAAGGCAACCCCAGCTGCCCTTCGCAGGATTCTGGGGTTCCCAAAGGACAGGTGGAAAACCGTAGGCCTCTCCCATATCTTTAACCTTATACTACCTCTTCACATGAGTGTTGTCCCCATGTTGCCTGAATTCCAGGCTCCAGTTTATCCTGTGTATCTCACTTCAGGTCCTTCTTCCTCCCCTAAGCTGAATTAGGACCTCCTCAGTCAGCTGCCAGTCCCTCCCCATACTCTTCCTTGTATCCCTAAATTGCCAAGTCAAGGTGGGTATTGATATATCTGCTGAATGAATGAAAGTCACATAGTTCTAGTTTTTTGATAAGGATTGTTTTTCTGCATGCTGAGATCCCTACAGTTGTCCTGAGATTTCCTTTGTTTTCTGCAGATGGAGAAATTGAACATTTCAAGGTCTGAAGTGAAATTAAACTGGAATGGCTTGTCCTCAAACCCAAAGAGGTGGAGGGAATTTACTTTGGGCTTAGGGAAATGAAAAAGGAGCATTTGTGGGAGGCATTTGGGGAACCAAACTTGGTTGGTTTTTGTTTGTTTGTTTTTTGTTCCACTTAATTCTCACCATGGTCTTCAGTGATTATTGTCCTCATTTCCCAGAGGAGTCTAGACTCTGTATGAGACTTTCAAGCCTGTGTCACAGATCTGCATGTTGAGGCTGGGGAGGGGTCCAGGCCTAAAATCCCATTTCTGCCCTGTTTTTCAGCCACATGGTTGATCTGACCCCCTTGGTTCTCAATCCCGGAGGCTTCCATTTCTCATACTTGGCTGGAAACAGTGCGCATAAGCTTCACTGCCCTGGCTTCCCCTGGTAAGCAGGTCTCTGTACCTCTCTGGGCCAGATAAATTCTAGCTGTGCCCCAGCCCCAGTATATCCACCCTTCTCCTCTGACAGACATTGTAGTATTATGCAAAAAAGTCATATATATATATATATAGTGTGTGTGTGTGTGTTAATGGGGATTGAACCTAGGGGAGTGTTACCACTGAACTATATCCCCAGCCCTTTTTTTTGAGACAAGGTCTTATTCAGTTGCCAAGACTGGCCTCAAACTTTCAATCCTCCTGTTCACCCTCCCCTGTAGCTGGGATTTCACGCATGTGCCACTGTGCCTGGCCAAATAAATCTTACTTATGATTTCCATTTCTGGGAATGACTCTAAATGTAATCAGGGCTGCCAGAAAAGTCATGATCCCTTCCTAGTTTTTGTAATTTTGAGAAATTAGTAACAAACCACCTGAAGGCCCAACTGAAAAGGAATGATGCTGCCAAACGAGGCAGTCCTATGATTTTGTTATATATGTGGTTTTTTAAAATTGCTTTTATTTTTTAAATACATGACAATGGAATGCATCACAATTCTTATTATACATATAGACACATACAATTTTTCATATCTCTGTTTGTATATAAAGTATATTCCCACCAATTCATGTCTTCATACATGTACTTTGGATAATGATGTCCATCACATTCCACAATTATTGCTAACCCCTTGCCGCCTCCCTTCTCCTCCCACCCCTCTGCCCTATATAGATTCGTCTATTCCTCCCATGCTCTATATATGTGTTTTGCAAAGCACAGGTTCACTGAATGTAGGTTTTTTAAATCACCTGCTTTTTCTACTTGCAATGTTAAGTATTTCCCAAGTGTAATTTATTATTATTATTATTATTTTAAACTTTTTTTAGTCATCAGTATACCTTTATTTTATTTTTATGTGGTGCTGAGAATTGAACCCAGGGCCTCACACATGCTAGGCAAGTGCTCTACCACTGAGCCACAACCCCAGCCCTATTATTATTTTTTTTATTATACATGGACACAATACATTTTGTGTATTTATTTATTTTTTAATATTTTTGTTTTTTTAATTGTGGTTGGACACAATACCTTTATTTTTTTATTTTTATGTGGTACTGAGGATCAAACCCAGCGCCCTGCATGTGCTAGGCTAGGCGAGCGCTCTAACACTGAGCCACAACCCCAGCTCCTGTTTATTTATTTATTTAAAAATATATTTTTTAGTTTTTGATGGACCTTTATTTTATTTATTTATTTTATATGGTGCTGAGAATCAAACCCATTGTCTCACACATTCAAGGCAAGCATTCTACCACTGAGTCATAAGCCCAGCCCATTGTTTGTTTATTTTTATGTGGTGCTAAGGATTGAACCCAGTGCCTCACATGTGTGAGGTAAGCACTCTGCCACTGAGCCACAACCCCAGCCCATGTGTAATTTATTATTACAATTATTGTTGTTGGTACTGGGATTGAACCCAGGGTACTTAACCACTGAGCAACATCCCTAGCCCTGTATATTTTTTATTTTGAGACAGAGTCTTACTAGGTTGCTTAGGCCTTGCTAAGTTGTTAAGACTGGCCTTAAACTTGGAATTCTTCTGCCTCAGCTTCCCAAGTTGGTGGAATTACAGGCAGGAGCCAACATATCCAGCCCTCAGTGTAATTTAGACTGACTGCTTCATTGTGTGACTTAAAAAACAAAAACAAAACAAAACAAAAAAAAACACTAGCTTTTAGTTTTTAGACCTGTTTTTGGCTCACAGCAAAATTAACCAATAAGTACAGAGATTCTTACCTCCACAAATGCATAGTCTTCCCCACTATCCACATACTATACCAGAGAGGTACATTTGTTGCATTTGATGAACCTACATTGACACATCATTAATACTCAGACCTTCTAGTTTACATTAGAGTTCACTTTTGCTGTTGTGCTTTCTATGAGTTTAGACAAAATATTAATGACATGAATCCTTCATTATGGTACCATGTAGAGCAGTTTCACTGTCCGGAAAATCCTTTGTGCTCAGCCTATTCATTCCTTCCTCTCCCCAACTCCTGAAAACCACTGATCTTTTTACTGTCTCCCTAGTTTTGCCTTTTCTAGAACATTATATAGTTGGTGTCATACAGTAACAGAGCATTTTCTGATTGGCATGTTATGCTTGATAATATGCATTTAAGTTTTCCATGTCTTTTGGGGTGTGTGTGTGTACAATGGGCCTTGAACATTTTCCATGTCTTTTCATCATGTGATTACTTCTATTGTTGCTTTATCTCTGAAAAATTCTCCTTTGCCTGGGTGTATCACATTTTATTTACCTGTTTGTTTCCTTAAAAACATTTTGGTTGCGTATAATTTTTGGCAATTTGCTATAAATATCCGAGTGCAAGTTTTTATGTGAACATAATTTTCAACTTGAATAAATATCAAGGAGCATGTTTGCTAGGTCATGTACTAAGAGTTTGTTTAGTTTTGCAAGAGACTACCAAATTGCCTTCCAAAGCGAATGGACCATTTTGTATTCTTACTAGCAACAAATGAGTTCAGATTTTTTTTTTTTTTTTTGGTACTAGGGATTGAACTCAGGGGTACTCAACCACTGAGCCACATCCCCAGCCCTATTTTGTATTTTATTTGGAGGCAGGGTCTCATTGAGTTGCTTAGTGCCTTGTCTCCTGTTTCAGTCTCCCAAGCCAATGGGATTACAGGTGTATATCACTGCACCCAGCCACTTTTTAAAAAAAAAAGTGCTTTGTTGCCCAACTGGCCTTAAATTCCTGGGCTCAAGCAATCCTTCCACCTTACCCACTTAGGTAGCTGGGTCTACAAGAATGTGACACTGCACCCAGTTTCCATGGATATGTTGTGGTGGTGGTGCTGGTGCTGGTGCTGCTGGGGGTCAAACCCAGGGACTCATGGATGCTAGGCAAGCACTGGATCACAGAACCACATCCCAAATCCTGTGATTTATATGTAAGAAAATCACATAGTTTCTCACAGAGACTTTACCTAAGAGAACCCCAAATAATAAGTAAATCTTTAAAAGTGCTTTTGGCTGCTTTTGTAATGAAAGATATAAATGCAGAGATTTCTGGGGTGAGTGTTTATATAGCTATTGAAAAGCCCAAAGTAGGGGCTGAGGTTGTGGCTCAGTGGTAGAGTGCTCACCAACACATGTGAGGCCCTGGGTTTGATCCTCAGCACCACATGAAAATAAATAAATAAAATAAAGGTATTGTGTCCAACTACAAAAAAGAAAAAAAAAAAAAAAAAAGCCCAAAGTAGCTGGGTATGGTGGCATACCCCTGTAATCCCAGCAACTGGGAAGACTGAGGCGGGAGGATTGCAAGTTTGAGGCCAGCCTCAGTAACTTAGCAAGAACCTCAGCAACTTAGGGTGACCCTATCTGAAAATAATATAAGAAATAGAAAAAGAACTAGGGATGTTGCTCAGTGGTAAGTCACCCCTGAGTTCAATCACCAGTTTAAAAAAAAAAAAAGTGAAGAGATGACTGTATAAACAAGGTTTTAGAAAGAAACTCTTTTTAGCTATGAAAATATTACCACATAAGCTTAGTTCTTTTTTTGGGGGGGGCGTGGGCGGGATACCAGGGATTGAACTTTGCGGATTGAACTCTGAGCCACATCCCCAGCCCATTTTATTTTTTATTTTAAGACTAATTTGCTGAGGCTGGCTTTGAACTTATGATCCTTCTACCTTAGCCTCCCCAGTAGCAGGGATTACAGGGGTGTGCCACCACACCTGAGGCCCGGTCCCTTTTTTATTTTTATTTTTTTTTAATATTTTGTTTATTTAGTTGTAGTTGGACCCAATATCTTTATTTTATTTTTATGTGGTGCTGAGGATCGAACCCAGGGCCTCGCATGTGCTAGGCAAGTGCTCTACCGCTGAGCCACAACCCCAGCCCCCTTTTTTATTTTTTAATATATTTTTTTAGATGTCGATGGACCTTAATTTTATTCATGTATTTATATCCGATGATAAGAATTGAATTCAGTGCCTCACACATGCTAGGTAAGCGCTCTACCACTGAGCCACAACCCTAGCCCACCCCCCAGTCCCTTTTATTTTGGGTACTAAGGATTGAACTCAGGGGCACTTGACGACTGGGCCACATCCCCAGCCCTACTTTGTATTTTATTTAGAGACAGAATCTCACTGAGTTGCTTGGTACCTCACAGTTGCTGAGGCTGTCTTTGAACTCCAATCCTCCTGCCTCAGGTTCCTGAGCACTGGGATTACAGGTGTGTCCCACCTTGCCCGGTTCCCCAGTCTCTTTTTAACCCCTTTTCTCAGATAACACATATAGTATACAAGCCACAATTATTGTTTAATTAAATGGGTTTTTGTATTTTATAGTTGTGTAAGCATCACCATCAATTTAAAAACATTTTCCTCAGCTACGAAAGAAGAGAGTGAGGGGCTGGAATGGAGTGCCTGCCTATCATGGGTGAGGCCTTGGGTTCAATCCCTAGCACCAAATGGTAATACATGCCTGTAATCCCAGCTACTTGGAAAGGTAAGGCAGGAGAATCACTTAAGGCCACCTGAACAGCATAGCAAGACTCCATCTTAAAAAGAAAAGAAAAAGAAAAGCTCGTGTGTTGGTGCACATCTGTGATCCCTATGACTCAGGCTGAGACAGGAGGATCACAAGTTCAAAGCTGGCCCCAGCAACTAAGCAAGGCTTTAAACAACTTAATGAGACCCTGACTCAAGTTAAAAAGGGCTGGAGATGTAGCTCAGAAAGAGAGAATGTGAAGAGATGATCCATGCTGGGCACCATGGTGCACACCTGTAATTCCAGCAAGTCACGAGAGGGTTGCAAGTTCAAGGCTCATATTAGCAATTTAGTGAGCCCATTTCAAAATAAAATTTTAAAAGGGCTGGGGATGTAACTCAGTGGTAGAGTTCCTCTACATTCGTTTCCCCGTTACACATAAACTTGCACAAAATAAAACACATCTACAGTGGGAGGTAGTATTTGCAAATCATTTCAACAATGAAAAAGCAACCCCTGCAAAAGAAAGCAAACCAATTGAAGATGGGCACAAAATTTGATTAGATGTTCCAAAGAAGATATACAAAAGAAGATATATGACCAATAGACAGGAAAAAATATTCAATAACATTAGTTATTAGGAAAATGCAATTCAAAATCACAAAATGCCAGTGCGATGGCACATGCCTGTAATCTCAGCAACTTGGGAGGCTGAGGCGGGAGGATTGCAAGTTCAAAGCCAGCCTCACCAACTTAGACTGTAAGCAACCTAGTGAGACCCTGTCTCAAAATAAAAAGGTCTAAGGATGTGTCTCAGTGGTTGAGCACCTCTGGGTTCAATTCCTGAGACTAAATCAAAATGAAACAAACCCCACAAGATAACATATTACATAGACTAGAATGGCTATAATTTAAAAGCAAAATAAAACCCCAAAACATTAGCAAGTATTGAGGAGAGGATATGGAGAAATTGGAACCCACATGTGGTTGGTGATAATGTAAAATAGTGTAACTACTGTGAAAATCAGTTCAGCAGTTCTTCAAAATGTTAAACAGAGTTCCCATGTGACCCAGCAATTCCACTTCTATATATATGTATATATCTCAAAGAATGGAAAACAGGGACTCAACAGACACTTGTATATGTATATTCATGTTCATGTTGCAGGGGAAATTACAGCACTCCTAAGATGCCACCCCCAGTTCTCTACCTACCAGCTGTAAGCAAGTACTAATCTACTTCTGTGTAGATCTATCTGGATATTTCATATCAATGGAATCATATATATGGCCTTTTGTATCTGGGTGCTTCCACTCAGTATAATGTTTTCATGGTGTGACTGTTATAGCAATGTTAATACCTTCTTTTGATGATTGAATAATGTTCCATTGTATTATTATTGAGCCATTCATCAGTTGATAGGAATTAGACTTTTTAACGTTTTTGACTGCTGGAAACAATGATGTTACAAACATTTGTGAACAAATTTTCGTGAGGGCATAGTTTTCAGTTTTTGGGGGTATACTCCTAGGAGTGGGATTGCTGGGCCAACTAAACTGTTTTTCCATAGTGGCTGCCTCATTTTATAATCCCACTAGCAATGTATGAAGTTTCCAATTTCTCCACCTCTTGCCCAATATTTATTGTTACTTTTTCTTTCTTTCTTTCTTAAAGATGGAGTCTCCCTATGTTGCCCAGGCTGGTCTTGAACTCCTGGGCTCAAGCAGTCCTCCCAAGTCAGCCTCTTAAGTAGCTGGGACTATAGATGCCTACTATATATATGCAACACAACTTAATTGCCTTTTTTAATACAACCATCTCAATGGGTATGAGGTGAAGTGTTTCTCTCTCACTGCGGGTTTGATTTGCATCTCCCTGATGACTAATGTTGTTGAGGCATTTTCCTGTACTTATTGGTTATTTGTATATCTTTGGAGAAGTGTTTTTTAAGATTCTTTGCCCATTTCTAAATATTGGGTTGTTGCTGGGTGCAGGGGCACATGCCTGCAATCCCAGCAATTTGGGAGGCTGAGACAAGAGGCTCCCAAGTTCAAAGCCACCTTAGGAACTTATCAAGACCCTGTCTCAAATTTAAAAAAAAAAAAAAAGGGACAAGGGATGTGGCTCAATGGTTAAGCCCCTCTGGGTTCAATCCCCATTATGGGTAGGGGGTGTTGGGGAGACAGCCCAATATTTATAAATACAATTTTTTTTGGTAGTACTGGGAATTGAACCCAGGTGTACTCTACCACTGAGCTATACCCCCAGCCCTTTTTATTTTTTTGAGACAGGGTCTCATTAAGTTGCCCATACTGGCCTCAAACTTGCCAGTAGCTGGAATTACAGGTGTATGCCCCTGTACCTGGCTAGGCTTAGTTCTCTTGAAAGAAAGTCTTTTCAAAATAGAAATTCCTGAACTCTTTCACCCAGTATTTTCAATCCTGGAAACTTCTTCCAGGGAAATAAAATAGAAAAGAAAAAGATCATTTGTTTAAAAATATTTATGTCAACATCAGTTAAAAAGAGGACATATGGAAACAGCTCAAATATGTATTTATATAACTATGGAATGTTATATAGCTGTTAAAATTATAAATATGATTAAACATGTTTCTATATATTCATGAATTATAGTTAAATGGAAGAAATAGACAAGTTGGGGGAAGGAAGTGAAGGTGACTGCTGGGTGACAGAAGGGTTTTTTGCAATGTTACAAAACAAAATTTCAAAATGAAGCACTGACCATTATTAGGTCTTCAAAGTGAAGTCACAGAGCAGGACTATGATCATCTTTTCTAGTCTTTCCTAGGCATAGTTTTATCTATATGTGATTCATTTAAAAAAAATCTTGCCTCTGTCACTTAATGTTACAATCCTGGCAGTTGAATGCTTCTGGACTGTTTTATTATTATTTTTAGTTGTAAATGGATCTTTTATTTTATTTATTTATATGCAGTGCTGAGGATCGAACCCAGGGCCTCACACATGCCAGGCAGGTGCTATACCACTGAGCCACAACTCCAGCCCCTTCTGGACTGTTTTAAACACAAGCATCATTGATTGGGGCAATAGCCATCCAGTGTATGTGGTACCTTCACTATTTAATTCCACTGGGAGATACAAGACTAACTTCTAGTTTTCCACTAGTGTATTCAGGGCTGGCATTAAAGTTGTTATATACCAAGCTGTTTCTGAATTTCAGATGAATCCCCTAAAGTATAATTACAAGGGAAAGAGTATGGAAATTAATAAGAAAGCTATCTGTTTTTAGAATCTAAAGGCAATAGGTTTACTTGCAGACAATATGAAACCCACACAGAAAAGACTCACCAGATCCCCTCCTATTCCTAACTCCAGAAATAACAAACCATTATATTTCTGTTTTAGTCAAGGCTTCTTTTCATGGACATGTGTGTATGTGCACATGTTATTGTTTGCTGTATAACTGAGATTGGGAGTGTTCTGTTAGGCAATTTTGTAGACAATATTAGCATATTAGTTTCTTCCCACAACATTAAAAATATCTTTAGGTTCACCAATAATAATGCAAAATACTCCATGGTATGAATAGAACATCAGAACATCATTTACTCAACTGTTTTTGTGTGTGGAAATATTGCACTGATGTGGCTGTCTTCTAGGCTCTTGGTACATCTTTCTGTGTGAGTTATGATACTATGGTGTCATCACCAAAATATGGGTTATTTTTAATTGGTTTTTTAAAATTTAAGGGGTAAAGGTGTAGCTCAGTGGTAGAGTGCTTGCCTAGCATGTGGAAGGCCCTGGATTCAATTCCTAGTACCCAAAACAATAAGTATAAAAAGCTGGGTGCAATGGCACACGCCTGTAATCCCAGTGGCTTGGGAACCAGGCAGGAGGATCATGAGTTCAAGGCCAGCCTCAGCAATTAAGTGAGGCCCTAAGCAACTCAGCAGACCATGTCTCTAAATAAAACACATAAAAGGGCTGGGAATGTGGCTCAATGGTTAAGTACCCCTCGGTTCAATCCCTGGTACAATCAATCACTCAATCAATAAAATGGAAAAAAAAAATAAAACCAGAATATATTCCATGGAGAAAAGTTCACACAGAAAATACATATAAGATACCACTGCTAAGAAGTTTTTTTTTATGTGCCATTCCAAACATTTTGGGTCTACACACACAAGTACACTAGTTAATTCTTTTAAATTTATTTTTTCTAATTTGTTATACATGACAGAAGAATATATTTCAATTCATAGTACACATATAGAGCACAATTATTTATTTCTCTGGTTGTACACAAAATAGAATCACACCATTTGTATTCTCATACATGTACTTAGGGTAATGATGTCCATCTCATTCCACCATCTTTCCCACCCTCATGCCACCTCCCTTCCCCTCCTTCCCCTTTGCCCTATCCAAAGTTCCTCTATTCCGCCCATGCTTCCCCCCACCCCCATTATGGATCAGCATCCACATATCAGAGAAAACATTTGGCATTTGGGTTTGGGTTTGGGTTTGGCTTACTTCATTTAGCATGATATTCTCCAACACCATTCATTTACCTGCAAATGCCATGATTTTATTCTCTTTTAATACTGAGTAATATTCCCTTGTATATATATTTACACCAGAATTTCTTTATCTATTCATCTATTGAAGGACATCTAGGTTGGTTCCACAAGGCTATTGTGAATTGTGCTGTTATAAACATTGGTGTGGCTGTGTCACTGTAGTATGCTGTTTTTAAGTCCTATGGGTATAAACCGAGGAGTAGGATAGATGGGTCAAATGGTGGTTCCAACACACTAGGGTCATATTGTGTGTACTTTTCAACTTTTTTTTTCCATTAATAAACAACTGGGATGTTTTTATTTGTTGGCTATCTCCTTCATTCCTTTAAACAGTGTCAGAAAACTTCACAGCCTGGCTATACCATGATTCAATTAGCTGTTCTCTCCTGGACATTTAGATTGGTTCTTTAAAGTCACAAACATTGCTGCAACCAACATTCTCAAAGTAGTATTGGGAGCCATCCTGCAGCTTAGGATATTGTCACGTGTACCTTTGGCAGTCCTGTGTGCTGGTGTCATACCTCATGGGCATGTGTTGGATGTCTCCCATGCAGGACCTCAGCCTGTAGTGGCTCTCTCAACAGTGATGAGACTCCATCCCCTGCTGTGAAGGCTTCCATCTTCACCCCGCCTGTCCTACTCAAGTTCCAGCCTGTTCCCAGACCCAAAGACGACTCAGAGAATGACCCTGGCAGTGCAGAGTCCGTGCCCCACAAGAGGAGTCCGTAACTTCTTTCCTACAAACCATGACTTGTGGAATGAATAAAGTTCCCATGGAGATGCCTTCCTTGTGGTGGGCTCCCTAGGAGTTGTGCAATCCCACTGGTTTAAATCGCTAACCTATCAAAGCGCTGCCCTTAACTCTGATTGGAAGAGTTCGGGGTTACAATCTACTTGATAGGCTAATTAAAGAATTAGGGCGGGCAAAAGGGGAGGGCTACAATTAGATCCAATTAAGGCTGAACACTATATTATGAAAATGAACCACTAGGCTTTATTTCTCACAGTATGGTCATCGTTTTGTAGGCCTCCGCCTGGAAGGGAAATACAAGTGGAGTGGAGGCTAGTGGGATTTAAGATTTCAGTCTCGTCAAGCGTGAGGGCACTCCTCTGTAATCCCTCGATTTGGGAGGCTGAAGGAAGATTATTCAAATTGGAGGCCAGCCTGGGTAACCTAGGAAGACTCTGCGTCAAAATAAAAATAAAAAGGGCTAAGATTGCAGCTCAGTGGTAAAGCGTCCCTAAATTCAATCCCCGTCCCGTCTTTGTCGGTCTCGGTCTCAATCCCCACCCCCACCATGACACCAGACTTTTTAAAAGACCAGAGAATTTAGGTTGGGCTTGAGTAGGGACGACACTGAGTTTTGTCTGGGCAGGTGAGAAGGCGCTTCAGAGGTTCCCAAAAAGATGGGGTTCTGAGAGATTAAAAGCCAGAACCCCCACGCTCAGACTGGCCGCAAACTGTCCCAGCCTACCCACTGGGGTGCCCAAGAACTTTTCTACCCAGCATGCCGAGAGGCCGCTTCCGGGGCGGGTCTGCAAGACCCGGAAGTGGTGAGGAAACTCCGAGGAGGCTTGGGAATCGGAGTGGTAGGCGGTCACCTTTTCGCATTAGCTGTTTCTGCTGCTGCTGCCGCTGCCATGGGGAAACGACAGCACCAGAAGGACAAGATGTAAGTTGAGTCTCAGCCGGGATTGGCGCCACGCTCTGCCTCAATCCCCTGCTGATTTAGCGCCGCTGCTGTTTCTCAGAGTTCGTCGAGAGGCCATTCCAAATTGTCACTTCCGGAAATTCCCACCCCCTTCTCCAGGCAGCCTCCAACCACCACGGTTTGCTTGGATTAAGCCCTGATATGGTCTCTTGAGCGCGACCCTTACACTGGCCTTGGCGCTCGATTTGAACCTTCTCCTTTACTTCTCAGAATTTGCCTGGGACCGCCCCGGCCACCCATTGTGAGCTTTGCTCTTGCATTAGTTAGTAGTCTCTCCTGCATCTTCAGTCTCCCTGGATGCTGGTTCACACTTAGTCTACACATCTCCTCTAGTCTGTAGTTTAAGACAAGCCAGCCGGGCGCAGAGGCGCACGCCTGTAATCCCGGCGACTCGGGAGATTGAGGCAGGAAGATCGCAAGTTAAAAGCCAACCTCGGTAATTTAGCGAGGCTGAATTAAACCCTTTCTCAAAATAAAAAGGGCTGGGGATGTAGCTCATAAGTAAGGGGCCCTGGGTTCAATTCGGTACCAGAAAAAAATAAAAACAAGCCAACCGTGTCCCTTCCTTTCCTCCAGCTACCACCATGTTTCTTTGATTCTGTTCCTAACAAGTGAAAGTCTTGTGTCTCCTTGCTGTTTTCTGCTGCGTCTTGAAACCACCTCAGTCAGACTTTTGCACCCAGAACAGCCCTTGAGAAGATACCGTTGTCTTCTGTGTTGCCAAATCTGGTGTTCTCAGTAGCCTAAAACACGATAATTACTCCTTCCTGAAACCCTTCTTTAGTGTCTTGAATCCCACATGCTTTGTTTTCCATCTACTTCAGTGGCCTTTCTCTTAGTTTCCTTTCCTGGGCCTTCCTCCTCTTCTCTCAGACCTCATAGGTTTCTTCCCTATTATTTTGTCTGTGAGTGATCTTTCCCAGTCATCCATAAGTTGAAGTTGATTGATTTTTTTTTTTTTTTTGGTACCAGTGATAGAACCCAGGGGTGCTTAACCACTGAGCCGCATCCCCAGGTTTTTGTATTTTATTTAGAGACAGGGGCTCACTAAGGTGTACAGGGCCTCCTTAAATTGCTGAGGCTGGATCTAAATAAAATCTCTTGCCTCAGCCTCCCAAGCTGCTGGGATTACAGGCATGTGTTGCTGGCCCAGCCAAAGTTGATTTCTTTATCTTTCCAAAGTGAGCTATTTACTTGACATCTTCCTGTGAAGAAGAACTGGTAGATGTCTGGGAGTTTCTTTTTCTTTCCTTTTTTTTTTTTTGATAAGCGTTTTACTGTATACTGTATATGTTTTACTGTATATATATTTTTTATATAAGCGTTTTACCAAGGCTGGCCTGGAACTCTTCATCCTCTTGTTTTAGCTAGCCTCCTGAGTAGCAGGGATTACCAGTACATGGTACTACCTGAAAGTTAATATTCTCTGTATTATTATTGTTCTGTCACTATGACAATATCCCTGAGAACTAAAGTAGGGAAGGTTTATTTTGGCTCATAGTTTCAGTCTATGGTCAACTGGCTCTATTGCTTTTAGACCTGTGATGAGGCAAAGCATCATGGTGGATCAGAGCTGCTGTCCTCATGGCAACTGGGAAGCACAGATCAAGGAGTGGTCCAAGGACAACATATGCTCTTCCAGGACATGCCCCTAGTGACCTACTTTTTTCACTAGGCCTCACCTCCTACAGTTTCTACCCCCTCCCAATAGTACATTCAATTATGAACCAGTTAGTTGATTAATACATTGATGAAATCAGAGCCTTCATGATCTGATCACTTCCCAAAAGCTCTTCTTGTGAACATTGCTACATTAAGGACCAGCCTTTCAGCACGTGAGCCTTTGAGGGATATTCCAGATACAAATTGTAACACATCCTAAACAAAACTTTTGATTTTCATCTTTTTTACCCTGACCTACTCCCTCCTCCCTATTTCAGTGGTTATATCACTGTAGATGGTCCCCAACCTTCTGTGAGTTGACTTAACAATTTTTCAACTTTATGATGGTGTGAAACAATGTGCATTCAATAGAAACCATACTTTGATGTTTCCCTTTTTTTTTTGGTACTAGGGGTTTACATTATAAGTTTTTTTGGTGTTTGTGTATGTTGCTGGAGATTGATCTCAGGCCTCCTACGAGGGCTTCTATCACTGAACTATATCCCAGGCCCTAAAATAAGCTTTTTGTTAGATGTTTTTGCCGAGTGGTGGGCTAATGTATGTGTCCTGAGTATGTTTAAAGTGGACTAGGCTAATCTGTCATGACCAATAAGTTAGGTGTATCAAATGCATTTTTAGCTTAGGATGTTTTCAACTCAGGATGGGTTTTTCAGGACATGGTCCCATTAGAAGCATGCTTAATTGCTCAGGTCAGAGGTCTGGTTGTTGGCCTTGATGCCTTTCATTATTACTGTTCATCAGGAAGTCCTGGCTCTTTCAGGAACTGACCACTTTCCACCTTGTCCACCAGTCCTTCATAGGTGAAGTTGGTATATCCAACTTCTTGGACTTTTGTGGTCACCTCTTGTTCTGCTACCTTTTTCAGTTGTCTTCCTACACACGGCAGCCAGACTGGTGCTTTGAGACATATGTTAAATCATGTCAGGGCCCTATTCACAACCCTCCAATAGCTTCCCTTCCCACTTAGGGCAAATCCAGAGTCTTTACCATGGCCTGTGTAGTTCCCGTGATTGGTCATTGCCTATGTCTTTATCTTCATCTGTTTCCTATGTACACTATTATTCGGTTATGTCTTATTTTTGGTACAAACCCAACCGTTAAGCCTTCATACATATTATGCCTACTAAGCTCTTCCCCAGATCTTCATGTGCCCAGCTCCTTCTCATGTCAGCTCTTCTCATAAATTCAGTTTTTTTCTTTCAGAGCAAAGAAGGACTGTTGGTTTTTATTTACTTGTCTCAGTATCCTTCTGCCTGCTTTGTTTATCACTATGTGCCTGACATTTAGCAGGTATTTTAATAAGCATTTGCTGAATAAGCCACAATTACATCATCAGTTACTTACTTCATAGACTCTGTCATCTCTATGAAGATCAGTTACTTACTTCACAGATTCTGTCATCTTTATAAAGGGGAGATAGTAACATTTTCTCTCTTCTTCAGGTACATTACCTGTGCTGAATACACTCACTTCTATGGTGGCAAGAAGCCAGGTAAAGCATAAAATTCTTCTGTTTTCCATGGTTGATGGGGGTGGTATTAAGGAATGATGTCTTCATTCTACTGTGAGCCGTGAAAATGAACAGTTAACAAGAACACAGTTATTATAATAGACAACTGGAGTGAGGACATAATCCACAAAAGAGGAAATATAATCAGCATAGGAGAACATGTTTTATCTTGGTGAGGATTTTTCAAAACAGGTTAAAATAACATTTTGGTTTTTATTTTGAGACAGGGTTTTGCCAAATTGCTTGGGGCCTCACTAAGTTGCTGAGGCTGGCTTTGAACTTGCGATCTTCTTGCCTCAGCCTCCTGCATGTCTGGGATTACAGGCATGCACCACTGTGCCAGGCTTCCTCTAAGTTCTTTTTTATGTACCCTGTGTGTTTTAGTTATAATCAAAAGATTTTTAATCCAGGCTGGGAGGTGTAACTCAATGGTAGAGCATATGCTTAGCATGCTTGAGGCTCTCGGTTCAGTCCCCGGCACCAAAACAGACAAACAGAAAACTTTAAATCCATAGCAAATGCTGTACTAGGTAATTTGCATTAACTTTTTTATAAAATGTAATTGAATTGTTGTTAGGTGCACATAGATGAAATATTTTACAAATAAGTTTAGTGTTTTTAATTTCATTTTAAACAGATATCCCTCAAACAAATTTTCGTCGATTACCTTTTGACCACTGCAGGTAAGGGTTCTGAATGTTTATCTTTCCCTGTGGTTCTCTGATATATGGTTGGACATTTTTTCTGAAATATTTGGGACCAGATAGATGTGTTTCAGATTTGAGTTTTTTAGATTTTGGAATATTTTCATAGACTTTACCACTTAAACATCTCTAATCTTAAAATCTGAAGTCCAAAATGATCCAAAATCCTCAACTTTTTGAGCACTGATGTGACACTCCAAAGTTTTGGGAT